TCATATTTTAATAATTTTCTTCTTCTGCCATATTATAGATGACAGTTTCCCATTTACACTGAATCCCAAGCACACATTCAAAATGTACAGTTTAAATATATTTCCCTCATGTATTTAGTGAAGGCCTTCTTCTGCACATTAAAACCTAAAAAACAGTGGCAACTTTTGGTGTGGTTTTGGGACCAAAGAATTTGGAGTGTCACACATAGTCCTGAGTCTATAGCAGTGTTTCTCAACCTTGGCAACTTGAAGATGTGTGGACTTCAACTCCCAGAATTCCCCATTAATTCTGGGAGTTAATGTCCACACATCTTCAAGCTGCCATGGTTGAGAAACAATGGTCTATAGGTTCTGCACCCTTGTTGTATATAGTAACATTGAACATCAGGGACAGAGACAGAGACAGAGACATCCAGCATACTGCAATGTAAGGTGCCAGCCATTAGCATCATCTCTATTTCCCAGAATGCTTGAGGTCTCAAATAGACCTTATAAGAGTTCTTTAGAAAGGTTGGGCAGCTGCATCTTGGTGTTCTATTTGGAAGTGGAGGCTAAATGAAAGAAACATTGTGGTAGATGTGTGCTTTGTAACTGGCTGTATCATCCACATAGTACTTTTGTGAGCAGATAAGACCTCCCTCAGGTCCATTTTGTAAGCGCACTCAAGACTTGTCTCAACATTCCAAATGTGCCCACCAGCCCAAAACAGGTTGGGATACAAGAAAAGGGATACAACTAATGCATGCACTGTAATTGGGGAAAGGCACTTTTGAGCAGAGTTGCCACTGGACATTTCAGGAACAGTGCTGGATACATAGACATGCCTGATACTTCCAAAGAAATGCAAAGCCATTTGGAGTAGGCAGTACTCTTAAGGTTGGCCTCTCTGCTGGCAGAGGCACAGTTGATTCAGGTACATTTACTCTCACAAATTACTTCATGGCCTCTTCAGCAAGGAGCTTCCTCAGTTGACTTCATATCCACTGAAAGAGCAAGAGCGAGAGCTTTGTTCTGCTTTTGGCATAATCAGAAGTTTCAAATTTTAATATAAGTTTCTTTTATCCTAAGGAAATCTGTATGGGCGTGGAGCAACTGATAACAAAGGACCTGTCTTAGCCTGGATAAATGCTGTGAGCGCATTCAAAGCGCTAAACATAGTAAGTAAAAATGTGGCCTTACAGAAATAAAAAGAGGTTCATGGCCTCAGCCTTGGATTCTGAAAGGGTTGTATAGTTAGCCATTGGTAGTCCATGTTCTATCATTGTGTCTGGTTGCTATTATGGTTGTTTGCACAGTCAGCTAGTTGTTTAGACTGGATTTGGCATTTTTGTCCACCTATTGTCCTTCCCAAGGACCTGGGATAGGCAGATGTTGTTGTTTGATGGTGTTAAATGTGTTGGTGTTGGTGTTATTTAGATTTGTTATAGCCACCTCACTCCAAAAGACTCTGAGTGGCTTACAACATCCAATATACAACTTAAATTAAAAACATAACCTCACAACATAACAGCTCAGGCGAAAACAGCCATAACAATTAAAAAAAAACATGATAGGGGCTCTATTAACACATGAACCCAGGCCTGGGAACAGAATCAGGTCTTAAGAGGTGTTTACTTGAGAGGACCTGCAGCTCATCCAGTCTGGCTGAACATACTGGATAGGCAGAGACAATTGGTGATAGGTGGTCCCTCAAATAGCCAGGTCCTATGCCATGAAGGGCTTTATAAATGATGACCAGCATCTTAAATTGCACCCAGAAGCCAACTGGTAGCCAATGCAGCTTGCCTAGCAATGATGACACGTGGGTATAATGAGAAGTGCCTGTTACTGTTAAGCCACCTAAACCAGTAGCTATCAACACATTTGGTGGCAGTGAATTTCATAATTCCACTATGCATTGGGTAGAAACTGAATTTTCTAATTCATGCCTTCTTAGATTCTGGAGAATAAGTGCAGGCTGGATGGTCCAAAGATGCTTTTCAAAGAACAGTACATTGGGAATAAAATCATAATGTAATCTGGCCCTCCAGTATCGCATGAAATAGGAAAGGTAGCACCAAGGAATAACGCATAATGAGGTGGTCAGTTTCTTACGATAATCAAGATTGGAAGGGAGAGCATGAGCTGGGAGTTGTCATACTTTCAGTATATTTGCAAACTCACGAGGACCAGATTCCATTTAAAACAGATGTAGTTATCTTGTTCATAAATGGTTTTAGTAGTTGGTAAGTCAACAAGTCCTAGAAACATATGCATTTGACACAGCATGTGATCATTCTTATGACAGTAATGTTTCAGGCTTCTGATTTCCCTTTCTTTCCTGTTATTTATCTCAGAGAGTCTAGTCAACAGACATATTTGGTCAGAGCACTTCCTTTTAGTCAATTATTCTGCGTTCAAGCTTTGATATCTCCTATTAAAACAGGGGTAGGAAACCTGCAGCCCTTAAGTATCTAATTTCTAGGGCTGTGTGAATCAGCCAAGATCTGATTTGCATGTATGGTTTGAATCATGAAATCAATTTGATTCCAAGTGTTGGTTTGATCTTATAAAGTGTGTGTGGGCATTCAGGAAAGGAGGTTGAATCTCAATTCAGTTCAAAGGCACCTGATTTGTAGAGACAAATCATGTTTTTTTGCACCAGAGAACAAAAATGCTTTATCTCAATGCCACAAAGGTCTTTATTGAGGCGAATCACTAAGCTCTTTGTTGAGGCTAATCCAAGCCACTTTGCAATGAACTGGAATTTATTGGGATTATACATTATAATTCTGTCTGACATTATACTGAGAGTTTTTTTTTCTTTAATGGTTGCTTAAAGGGGGGTTTGCTTTCTCTACCAGGATTTACCAGTAAACATCAAATTTCTTATTGAAGGCATGGAAGAAGCAGGATCCACTGGATTGGAAAAACTGGTTGAAAAAGAAAACGAGCGATTTTTCTCCAGTGTTGACTATATTGTGATTTCAGATAATACTTGGCTCGCCAAAACAAAGCCATCTCTTACATATGGAGCTAGGGGAAATGCCTGCTTCTCAGTGGAGGTAAAAGGGTAAACTCAGAATTACTTGTGACTAAAATATTCTGATCATGCTCCGAGGCAGTTTCTTTGAAGCTGATATGATGCAAATTTTACTATCTCTAGATAAGCTTTCCCAACTTGATGCCCAATAGATAACTTGGATTACAACATCTATAATCTCACTTTTTAAATGGGAATTATTGTATAATATATGAAGAGCAACAGGTTGTGAAAGGTTACTACAGAACAAGAATGCATATAGTCTGTGCTGGGTTAGAATGTTGGACTAGAATCAGGAAATCTTAGGAGCTCCCTGGGAGAGTCTGAGCTCTCACAAACTCTCAACGAAATTCACAGAGTTGTAACTGAGGATAAAATGAGGGATGACACCCTTGAACTCCATGGAGAAAAGGAAAGATATAAAAATAACCAACAGGTAACAGATGAATTACAATCCTAAAATCCATCAATCAGATTAGATGAAAAAGGATAGCTCAGTTGAGTGAAGGACACTAAAACCTGGAAGCTCTGAGCATGTGCTAAGATCAGTTATTTGTGAACTATACCAGGATCAAGTTTAACAGTTTTTTCATGCAAACATTCACCCCTAGTTTTCCTTTAAATATTATTTTTCAGCAACCCAGTTTAGCGGGAGGGCTATTGCTTTTTAGCTGTAGTCATTGTTAGGTAATTGGGAGTCAGAAATCCATGCTGACTTACTGAAAATTTTTTGAAGTAAATCTTCCTGAGATTTACTAATAGATCTTCTTCCCACCACTCCCATACAGGACTTCATCTCTCTGCCCCTTTTCAGTTCTGGGTGAATGGTCTCCTTATAACTGCCTTAATTTCTAAGAACATACTTCAGAATAGCCTTTATTATGGTTATTGATTAGTACAATAAACATGGTTATTCAAATGTTTGTTATTTGCATATTCTTCATTTACAGACATATTTGTTTAGTCGTTAAGTCATGTCCGACTCTTCGTGACCCCATGAACAGAAGTGATTTGTGTGAATATT